GGCAGCAGAGAACAAGCCTGCTCTCTCATCTCTGTGGCAGCCCTTCATGTATTTAAAGATGGCACTTGTGTCACCCCATAATCTTCTTTTCGCCATCTGAACATGCCCAACTGTCTCAACATTTCCTCATATGCTTTGCTCTCCAGACCATATAATCTCTCCATAGCTCATACAGGTAGAGTCTCCATTATCTGGAATTCCAAATTCCAAAATCCTCCAAAATCCAGAACTGTCCACATGGGTGGCTGAGATAGTGAAACTTTTGCATTCTGATGGTTCAGTGTACACAAACTTTGTTACATGATTAAGAATATTATGTCTAAAATTACTTTCAAGCTATGCATCTAAGCTATATACGAAACATAATTTCAGGTTTAGGCTTGGGTTCCATCTCCAAGATCTTTAAGATATTCAAAAATCCCCCAAAAGTCCTCTCTCTTTTGCTGAGTTAACTGACTGCAAATTACTCTTGCAGCAACTAAAGTGAGCTGAGAACAAAGGGGGAAAGTGGAAGGAGAAGGAGAGTAACTGTGATCATTTTAAAAGCAGCTGAAAAGTGATACGCCAAAGAGAGGATTCATTGGGACTGTCCCTGCGATACTGGAACAGTTGGAGGGTATGAAAATGATAAACTGTAATGGTGCAATATGGTGTTTGTTTCCTTAGAATACAATCACCCTTGATATGAACTTCCTTAGTAAGTAGTTTCTTCCAGTGCCCAGTTCCCCCAGTTATTCAGTTCATAAAGTGAATAAGTGCAGATTTCCAAGGAAACAAGGGAATAGTACATTACAGTTTACTAGTTTAACCCTAAAGAGCTTGCAAAAATACCCCAGAGTGCCTTACAGCAATAACTGTAGGTTTCCCTGCTGAGATTGTTCAGTCCCCCCACACAGATACTTGCCAATTTGAGGAAAGCTTCCAAGAAAGTAATAGAATCATAGGGTTAGAAGATATTTTTGGGTCACGCTTTGCAGCCTACACAGGGTCTCGAGGGCAGACACTTGGCTCCAAGATATAATGTAGGCTTTTCAACCTGGACCGTCTGCACCTTTAGTGTCAGCTGCAAGGGTAGGAAATTGGTTGGTTTCAATGGTCTTTCCATAACAGCCAAAATACCCTTAAGGCACCAGATCCCACCTGATCTAGGAAGCTAAGCAGGGTCAGCCCTGGTTAGGACGTGGACAGGAGATTACAAATGAATCCCGGGTGCCGTAGGATATATTTCAGAGGAAGGAGTCTGGCAAAACCATCCCTGAGTCTTCCTTACCTAAGAAAACCCTGTGAAATTCATAGAGTTGCCATAAATTGACAGGCGCACGCACTCACGCACACACACAGGGCATGTAGTAACACATTACTGTGTAACTCCCTTCTCATGTAGAATTGGTGCTGTTTCAAGGTGTATTGCAACAGTTCCTCCTTGTGGGAAAAGGGGGTATATAGCATGCAATGGTTCCCAATTGGCAAGGGAGTCAGACAAGGCTGCATCCTTTCACCCTATGTGTTCATAGAATCATAGAATCATAGAGTTGGAAGAGACCGCACGGGCATGCAGAACATATTACAAGAAAAGCAGGCTTGGACACAGAAGGAGGAATGAAAATAGGAAGAAGGAATATCAACAATCTGAGATATGCTGATTACACCGTAATACTAGCAGAAAACCTCACAGACCTGGAACAACTACTTGTGAAGATCAAGGAAGAAAGTGCAAAGGTAGGGTTATTGTTGAACGTAAAGAAAACAAAAATAATGACCACTGAGGATCTTCACAAGTCCAACCTAGACAATGAAGAAATAGAATTCCCATACCTGGGATCAAACATAGATAGAAATATGGACAGCAGTCAAGAAATCAGAAGAAGATAAGAATGGGGAGGGTGGCTATGAAAAAAATAGAAAAGATCCTAAAATGCCAGATATACAACTCAGCACAAAAGTTAGAATCATACAAGCCATTGTATTCCCTATTACCATGTATGGATGTGAGAGCTGGACAGTCAAGAAAGATGATAGGAAGAAAATAAATGCATTTGAGAGAACGTGGTTTAGGAGAAGAGTGCTGAGGATCCCATGGACAGCCAAAAGGAGAAACAAGTGGGTCCTAGAGCAGATCAAGCCGGAAACCTCCCTGGAAGCCAAGATGACCAAACTGAGGCTGTCATACTTCGGACACATCATGAGAAGGGAGGACTCTTTGGAAAAGACAATAATGCTGGGGATGGTGGATGGAGGTAGAAAGAGAGGAAGGCCACATGCCAGATGGATGAACTCTGTGAAGGAGGTCACTTTGGGTATTAAAGGGTTGCAGGAATTAAGCAGAGCAAGGGAGGACAGAGGGTCTTCTTGGAGATGTCTCATCCATAGGGCCACCATGAGTCGAGATAGCAACAATAAAGCATGCAGAAATAGGCCCTGGGGCTGAATCTGCCTCCATATCCACCCCTTTGGCTTCTCCAGATAGCAATGGCCCTTTCCACACATGACCCTATTTCATTTCCCAACCTTCCCATGTTTTTTCTCCCAACTCCAAAAGATGAAAATATCTCTCCTAGAGGTTAGTTACTGGCAGTAAGAACTTTGGAAACCATTCTTAGGGAGCTGGATATGTTTAGTCTAGGGAAGAGAAGGTTAAGATGAGACATGGTAGCCCTGTTTAAATATCTGAAGGGATGTCATATTGAGGATGGAGCAAGCTTGTTTTCTGTTGCTCCAGAGACTACGACCTGGAACAATGGATTCAAACTTACAGGAGAAGAGATTCCACCTAAATCTTACAAAGATGGTAGCTCTTCCTGATGGTAAGAGCTGTTTGCCAGTGGAAGATGCTGCCTTGGAGTGTGGTGGAGTCTCCTTCTTAAGAGGTTTCTAAACAGAAGGTTGATGGCCATCCATCATGAAAGCTTCAATCGTCTCTTCCTGCATTGCAGAATGGGGTTGGAGTGGATGGCCCTTGGGATCTCTTCCAATTTTTGGATTTTGTGACGCCAGCAGGATACAGGCCATGTTTATTTCGGGATATGATTTCTTAATGTACACATTTTCCCTCTTAATGATCCTTTTAAAATACATTTTCCTGTGGTTGTGTGCTGTTTCCAAAGTCATGCACTTGGGGTTGTGCACATTTATCTGACTATCTTTAGAGAATGGGGGCGGGGGGCGGGAGAGAATCTGCCAGTTGTGGTTTCTTCCTGAACTGAAGAACTGAAAGCTTTGTTGTTGTTATGTACCTTCAATTTGAATTCAACTTATGGCTGACCTTATCCTAGGATTTTCTTGGCAAGATTTATTCAGAGGAAGTTTCCCATTGCCTTCCTCTTAGGACGAGAGTGACCAAACAGGGATTCGAACTCTGGTCTTCCAGAGTCCCAGTCCAACACTCAAACCTCTAGACCATGCTACTTCTCAGGATTTATTCAGAGGGGGTTTGCCATTGACTTCTTGTGAAGCTGAGAGAGTATATGACTTGCACAAGGTCACCCAATGTTTCCATGGCTCAGTAGGGATTTGAATGCACTACTACACCATATTCCCTCTCTGACTGAAAGCTATGTATAGACATAACTGCACATCGCAGTCAAGCAGAATACATATTAATTAAATGTTTTTAAAGAGATTGGTATGTGTATGTGTATGTTTCTTTTTCTTTGTTATTTTTAATGTTTCCAACAGGATATTCAATAGACCAAACGTTCCATGTCAGCATTGGGTTCTGAATCAATAGAGTGGGTCAGCTGAATCATAAGAACTGTGCTGCACTGGATCAGACAGAAAGCCACGCTGGGAATGGTGGATGGCAGAGCTGATGTCAGCAGAGGTGGGTTTCTCCTCTGGATTTTAGTCAGAACTTAAAAAAAAAAATCTGTCCAGGATGCAGAATCTATTTTGAGCAGAGGGTACCTAAGCAGGATCAGCCCTGAGTAGTGCTCAGATGTGAAATCACCAAGGAATACCAGGTGCTATGGACTATATTTCAGAGGAAGGAAGAGACAAAGCTACCTCTGAGTCTTCCTTGCCTAAGAATGCCCTATGAAATTAATGGGATCACCATAAGTCAACTGGTGGCTTAAACACACATTTGCACACAAACATATTAATGCACAGAGGATGGGAAATAAACCAGATGAACTCCATCTCTTAACACAGGAAGGCAAACATGGCTGTATATTGCCAGGGGCTTAAATACAGTGGAGCCTCTGTATCTGCAGACTTGCTAACAGCAGATTTCAGCATCCACAGATGGCAATCCTGCATTGTCTCTAATGGTGGTGCATGCATGTGGTTGTGCTAGCACATGTGCTTACATTATGCCACCATAAGAAAAAATGGGATCTGAGGTCCTGTGATTTTTGGTATCCGCCAGGGGGGTACCCCTGTAGATATCAAGGTCTAACTGTTCTCTAAAGGCACCATTCTCATCTGATCTTGGAAGCTAGGCAGGGTCAAGCCTGGTTAGCGCTTATATGGGAGACAGCCAACAAATACCAGGTTATGATGCAGAAGAAGGACCTGGCAAAAACACCTCTAAGAATTCGTTCCCAAGGAAAACCCTATGAAATTCATGGGGTTGCCATAAGTTGACAGGCAACTTGAAGGAACATGTGCATATGCATATACTTGGGTAGCTCCTTTAAAAGGCACACTTAATTTCAGAGTGGATGCACCATCCCACTGCTATTGGAACCATGAGCTCCCACTGCTGTGTTGGCCCAATGAAAAGCATCTTTTTCTTCAAAAGGAACCTTTAACACATTCACCAAAAGTTTAAATGTTTTTAGATGATACACTACTGCCATCTAGTGATAACTCCATGGTCAGGGTAGTATAAGGGCTTATTCTCAGGAATAACATGATGATGATTGATGATTGATAATTGATGATGGTGGGGCCAAGTTACATTTCAAATTCAACATGAGTGGTAACAAAGCTTTTGGTCTTGCAAGTGACATTTTTAGTTACTTTTAAAAGTTTACGGACATCCTAGAGATACTGACAGAGGCAGTGGGGTGTAGCAGTTTGAGTGTCAGACTATGACTCTGGAGACCAGGGTTCAAATCCCTGCTCGGCCATGGAAACCCTTGGGTGACCTTGGGCAAGTCACACACTCTCAGCCTCAGGGGAAGGCAATGCCAACCCTCTCCCCTGAACAAATCCTGCAAGAAAATCCCATGACAGGTTCCCCTTAGGGTTGCCATAAGTCAGAAATGACTTGAAGGCACACAACAACAACACGATGGACCTTGACTTGTGTGAATAGGAAGAGGAGGGTATTTAATTCTCTGCCCCAGGTACCAAATTATCTCAGGCTAGCCTCAGTTATGGAACCCCCAACTGTTTCAGTCTGATCCACTCTGTAAACTAACATAATCCAAATGGCTTCCACCTTGAACAGCTTCTTCTCAGCTTCTTCATGATGTCCCTTGTGTGAAGCAGTCTCTTGAAAGATATGCTGAAATATTTCCACTTGCATACAGCCTCAGCAGTCATGGGGTTGTCTAGAATCCATTGCATGTTCCATGGTGGGCAGTTCAGATAGTTGGCATCCAACATAGACAGTTCAGGGCTTGGTGAAGGCAAAGCCAGAAGAGAGAGGGGACAGTTCGAACCATCAAGTAAGTTTAGGATGGTGAGATTCTGCAGCCATTTGGCCTGGAGTTAAGCTTTCTTTGCTGGTCATCTGGTTTCTATCAGAGTGGTTTCCTGGCATTGGTCAGTTTTTAATGGTGGTGCACCAAAAATAACTATCTAGATTGTAGTACCACTCTATTCTGCCTTGGTCAGACCTCTCACCTGGAGTGTTGTGTCCAGTTCTGGGCATCACAATTCAAGAGGGATATTGACAAGATGGAGTGTGTCCAGAGGAAGGTGACTAAAATGGTGAAAGATTTGGAAACCATCAAGTCCTATGAGGAGAAACTTGGGAGCTGGGTATGTTTAGACTGGAGAAGAGAAGGTTAAGAGGTGACATGAGAGCCATTTTTAAATATTTGAAGGGATGTCATATTTAGGGTGGAGCAAGCTTGCTTTCTGCTGCTACAGAGACTCAAAGATGGAGCAATGGATTCAAGGTACAGGAACATAGATTCCACCTCAACTTTAGGAAGAACCTCCTGATAGTAAGAGCTGTTTGACAATGAAACACACCGCCTGGCAGTATGGTGGTGTCTCCTTCTTTGGAGGTTTTAAACAGAGGCTAGGTGTTCATCTGTTGGAAATCCTTTGTGTCTTCCTGGAAGCCAGAATGGGGTTGTACTGGATGGTTCTTGGGGTCTCTTCCAACTTTATTCCAACAATTTATTCTATGATTCTATGATTTCAAGCCCATGGAATCCACTGCTTCAACCAAGACTACAAATCTGGGTCTCACTTTTAGATCTGATGTGGACTGAATGGCAAAAGAAAGCCATAATTTCCAGGATGCTAGATGTGTTAAGCCTGTTGCAGGTGAAGCACCCAGGCTCAAATTCATGGTTGCATAACCTAGAGTTTCCCATTCATAACTGACTTGTATTCATGATCTCTGTGTATCCAATGGTGTAGGGAATATGTCGGGACCATTGTTACAAGTACATAACCTACTAATTACACATCTGCAACTAATTCGTATTCACAATCCTACTTATTTGCAATCATGGTAATAGTGAAGGGAATACGTAGGGATCATAAAAGTCTCTTAATCCTGCTTTATGAGGCAGCAGCTGTTGAGAGCAATGGAGGTCTGTTGTCCTCTCGAATGGGGTGCAACAGATTAACCGTTCCACCCGACTCCTGCCAGTGATCTCCAATCTGAGGAGGAATTGCAATAGGGATAGAATCATAGAATTGGGAGGGACCCCAAGGGTTATTTAGTCCAACCTCCCTTGTTTGCAAAAAGACTTAATCCAAGCACTCCCATAGATGGCCATCCAGCCTCTGTTCAAAAACCTCCAAAGAAGGAGCCTCTGCCACTCTCCCAGGCAGCATCTTCCATTGTCAAACAGTGATTGCCACCAAAAAGGTCATTCAAATGTTTAGGTGGAATCTCTTTCCCCCTAGTTTGAATCTATTGCTCCATGTCCCCATGTGATAACATCCCTAGTCTCTTGAACAGCTGGAAACAAGCTTGTTCCATCCTCAGTATGACACTCCTTCTTCTTCCCATCAGGAAGTTCTTCCTAATGTTTAGGCAGATCCTACTTCTGACTGTTGCATTGGAGATCATTTATGGGCGAGGATGAAAATGCCAGTCTGCTGCTTCCTAATCGACAGGAAAACAGATCACCATTGTTTGCAGAGGCTGCTGCCCAGTAAGTCAGGACTCAGGGAGTCAGGCCAGGAGATGCTACTTAGTCACATACCTAAGACCAAGATGATGTACAATTTCAGCCTTAGAGTCCTGTGACACTTTAGTCGGGCTCTGTCTTCTGTCAGATAAATGCTTATCTGTATCTGTATTTCTAAGGAATATGTATATGTACTTTAAACTTCTTTTATGAGTGATTGATTATATTTTGTATGCTGTATTATGCTGATCTTATTATGCTGGTTTGTGACCATAATAAATATTTATCTATCTGTCTGTGGTACCGTAAAGACTAGCAGGTTGTATTGGGCATACGCTTTCATGGGCTGCATCTCACTTCGTTCTGTGCAGATTCATCAGCCACTACAAAGTGACTAGGAAAGAAAGGACTCTGTTTTAAGAGGACAAGTTGCCATCATTAATTCATTGTCTCTTTATCTCTCTCTCTCTCTCCATCTCTCTCTATTGTGCATGATTTCCTTATAATTTCCTTAAAATTATAACCCAGATCTACAAATGGAATGGAACAACTGGCAGCAGCTCTGACTGGCAGCAGTAGCTACACATAATTTCAAAGTTTTTTTTCCCCAGTCCTACTTGGAGATGTCAGGAACTGAACCCAGGACCTTCAGCATACAAAGCAGGTGCTCTGCCTCTGAGCTACAGCTGCTTAGCTGTGAAGATGGAGGAAGGTTTTCTCTCCCAATGAAATTTGCAGTGAATCCACTCCAGTGTTTAAAAGAACTATCCAAGGTCCTGAATCTTTTTGTAGAATTGAGTTGAGCACCTTTACAATTCTGATTCAAACCCAGAGCAGATCCACTGTCCCCCTGCCATGCTAAGACAGTTATATCATGTAAAAATAAAAGAATATGTCTTAGTTGCAATGATGTTGAGAGCAGCATGACATAGTGGTTTGAGTGTTGGACTATGACTCTGGAGACCATCTTGGTCATGAAACCTTGGGTAAGTCACAGGCTCTCAGCCTCGGGGGAAGGTAATGACAAACCCCACTCTGAACAAATCTTGCCAAGAAATTCCATGATAGGTTCACCTTAAGGTTGTGATAACTTGGAAACAACTTGAAGGCACACAACAAAAACAAGAACAACAGCAGTGATGCTGCTAGGAAACAAGATACTTTGGGGATTGTTATACCCAGAATCCTCCAGCTGGAGCAGTCATGCTGGCTGGGGATTCTGAGAGTTGTAGTCTTTTCTTTTTCTTTTTTTTAAAAAGAGGATAGTTGGCCTCCTGCGTGAGACTAACATCTTTGTAAATGGCCTTACATGTGTGCAAGATTGAGCTGAGTAATTCTGCAACATCTATATTTATCTGGGGACTGCCATGATGTTACAATGTCTGGGCATCTGTTGAGCAATGGTGAAGTGACTGATGTGCCATAGATTGATATGCAATCGTTACCAATGTGCACTAGGGTGCTCCCAGATGCACATCTAGAGAGCAACTAGGAAGTGCAGGAGCACATCAGGAACACACAATGCACACCAGATGCACCTGATATTCATTGGAGCACACTTGCCAGTGCCCAGGTGCAGTGGCATCACTAGGGTTGGTGTCACCTGATGTGGGGCAGTGGTGGCAGTGGTGGACTCCTTGCCCCCTTCCCTCCCATTGCTTCGCCTACCTGGCCAGCAATGCAGACCCAGAAAGTCATGGGCAGCAGGATGGATGAGTGGGTGGGCAGATAAGACAGTGGACTGTCCCACCCTATTCCTTCCACTGCCTTGCCCATCCACATACCCAGACCCAGAAGGACCCAGGCAGCTGGATGGGCAGGTAAGACAGTGGATTGTCCCACCCTTCTTTTCTTCCCACTGCCTTCCCATGGGGGAACAATATCCTGCAACAAGGGCATTTTCCCACTTTTTGCAGAGGTGCCATGGCTGGTGCCAGAGTGCCAGGGGGGTTGAGACAGATGACAAGTGACCACCGCACTGGGTGTTCACCCCCTGAGCTTTCACTCAGTGTGTTCTGCACCTCCTGCACCCCCTTAGTGACGCCTCTGCCCAGATGCACATCTTCACAATTAGTTTACAGGGTTTTCTTACATTTCCGCAACTTAGTCACAGATTCATAAAGTGATCAAACACAGAATATGATATATGATCTTGGCTGACTTTTTATGTCACATAAGAAAAGTGGATTGCTTGCAAAACCGTGTCTGTGGGTGGATAGGATGAAGGCTATTTTGCAACAACAACGACATAAAAGTTGCTGTGGATCTGGGTGGCGGCAGCAGCAAAGCAATTACTCAAAGTAAGTTTTAGAGGATTATTCAAGAAACAATTCATCGCCTTCTATGAGCACTTTTGCTCTTAGCCAGAGCACACTTAGTCTCAGACTTCACTGATTACAACTACAACAGAGCTCTCAACGCAAATGAAATAGTCACTCTTTAATAAAGAAAGGCACTTGTAATTTGGACATGCAGGCACAAGCTGGGTTAATTCTTTACAGTCACCGTCACTCAGTGTGCAAAACCAGTGAGGTTCCGAATGACGCCAGTGGTTCTGAGGATATTAACATCTGGAAAGAGCCAAACAATGTCCCCCAACATTTCTCCAACATTTTGGATTTAGCCTCACCTTCTGCAATGACTCCATTTTCCATTTCCCATCTGGATTTCCAGAGGTACACACAGAGAGACTCCAAACATACAATTACATACATCACTTGCTATTGACTATGTGAGTTGGAGCTTTGGGAAAGAGGTGGAATGAAAAACCAGGCACTGCCAATTTAACTTCCAGCACTTGGAAATAATACCTTGCAAAGAACGGCATTACCTGTAACACCATTTTGTTTGAAGGTAGCAAGAGAGTTACAGCATCCTATCCTTGAGTTTGAATGCAAAGACAGTTTTTTGCACATGAGTAATACTAACTTGTGACCTCCCAACATTGAACTTTGCTTATTTTTGTGTTGGAGGCTGACCTTTTGGGGGCTGGGATGGTCAACTGTGGAAGGCTAAGCGGTCACATTTGCCCCTTGGAAGACCTTGGAGGGCTGTACGGCCCACACCTACTTGAAAAAAAAATCATATTTTGCCTCTGAATAGCCTCTAGGTGACATTGCTCCATATTTGCCATGTTTTTCGTTCCAAGAGAGGCTTCAAAATAAGTTCTGTTTGGGCCTAAATGTGTCTGGGGGACCAGAAGGTGGCAAAATGCCTACCCTACATTGTCTAGAGGATATTTGGAGGCATTTGGAAGCATGCATATATATATATATATATATATATATATATATATATATATATATATGTATGTATCCCTGGGAGCCTGAAAATGGCCCTGGGAGGTTGCATATGGCCCAAAACTTCCCCTCCAATCCATTTTAATGTTTAAAACTGGAAAAAAAGAAACCAACACACAATACATTAGGAACACATTACTCATCAAAGAAAAAGCAATGTTAACACTAACACATTATAATTTTTTTAAAAAGTAAACAGCCAACGCTATCATGTCGGGGCAGTTTAAATAACATTCCATGCTATTCTCCTTTCTGATCAACCAACAGATTCACTGCAGTCTCTTTGGCCATGAATTGGAGAAATGTTTCACTGGTTTTCGAGGGATGATGGTGGCCAAGGCAGAAACTCTTTAATAGTTCACTGGGCTTGTGGCCTTAAAAATAAAAAGACCCAAAGACCCAAACTTTCCTGGAACAGCTTCAGGGCTGCTGTTCGAGAGAGATGAAATAGCAAAGGCGGAAACAGTTTTGGAAATACTGCCACTTCCTTCTCCAAAATAATACTACTAATCAAAATCAAAATCTAATCTAATTTTATTCAGTGAGGTTTCATGCTTGGTGATACCAGGACATAACTACAAATGACCAAGCAAAGAGATTCCACCTAAACATTAGGAAGAACTACTTGATGCTATGAGTTATGACAGTGGAATATGTTGCCTTGGAGGGTGTTGGAGTCTCCTTCTTTGGGCTTTTTTAAACAGAGGCTGGATGGCCATCTATAAGGAGTGATTTGTGTATCCTACATGGCAAGGAGTTGGACTGGATGGCCCTTAGGGTCTCTTCCAACTCTAGGATTCTAGGATTTTGGTGTGCGTCCTACATTGGAATGATGGATTTTAACAGAGTTACAAATCCATAACTGCTACTGCATTCAGCCACACTCCATATTTCCAATTATGGGACTATTGTCCTGATTGCAAATGCCACTCGAAACCTACTTTTACAGCCAGAAGCTGAACTGAGCAATGGAGGTCTATCCTGCTGTAGATCAAGGTGCTAAAGGTTGATGTTTCCAGCCTCTTTCTGCCAGCAAGCTGTGTTGTAGCAATTAGAAGCAGGACTCCTGTTGCAACTCCTTGTTGCACCAAAGATTGCTCCTGGAAACTTCATCTTGCTGAGCCATGATCAGCAGTAGAACAGACCTCCATTGCTTGGTGCAAGTGCTGGCTGTTAAGGAAGGTTTGGGGTTGGAGATGATATATAGTTACGTATGGATGATTTCTAGTTATGTATTCAAACATCTGCGATGTAGGATCTCAATGGTTGCTGGCTATGCAAACTATTTAGCTAGCAGGTTATCTGATCTCCCTGGAAGGATATCACTCAGATGTTTTTTGGCCTACAATTGACATCATTCTCAGACAGCACACCCAGCAGTGAGGGATCAGGGGTGCTGCAGTCCAAAAATACCAGGAAGACTGCTCCTGAATTTGGGGTTAAATTCCACAAAGCATTAAATACATGACATCAGAGGCAGCTGGTGGCTCTGTTACTTGGGAGCAGAAAATCCATGTTGACTTTTCCAGGAGTTTCTTCAGGGTTTAATTAATGAAGCATTTTATAGGCAATATCCACGGTGCTGAATTGATATGGAAAATAGGATTCAGCACTTTGGAGAGTGCCCGTAAAATGCTTAATTAAACTCAGAGTAGCGCCTTTAAAGTCCAGTGAGGATTTGTTAATGGAGCCACTTCACATCATGCATTTCAAATGCTTTGATTGTTCCAATTTTACTTTGCAGTAAGCATGCATCGCCTGTTCTGGATGGAGACCTGTGTACTATGGGTCTTGATGCCTGCCATTAACTCTGCATCATCTGTTTCTGGTTTTAAATCCCATGACAAAGCTAAAGGGAGGGAGAAGAGAAAGTACACACACAGACACAGACACACCACATTTTTGTTGGTGACAATCAAGACTTTTCCCTCCCCTTTATAGAACAAGATCCAACTGAGCGGGGAAGGTTTAATCTGCATCAGAGCCGTGCACAGTTATTGTAGTGTATATGTGTGTGTCTGTACTGGTTGAGGATCCCTTATCCAAAATGCTTGGGACCAGAAATGTTCCATATTTCATATTTTTTCTGGTTTTTGCAATATGTATATTTGCATATACACAATGAGACATAATGAGATTGGAGGCAGACCGAGAATCTGTGAAATGGTGGGAATCCTAGCATAGTGCTTGGGATGAATCCATGCCTCCTGCCATTTCACAGATCCCTGCGCCTCTCTCCAGCTGCATCTGTCTCCAGCCTCACAAATACAGTACAAGTACATAACTCAAAAAAGTTTAGGATTTTGGACTATTTCAGAATTCTGGATAAGGGATACCAAACCTGTGCCTGAAACTGCATTGCATATTTCAGGTATTGTGTAGTTTGACCAT